ACACACACACACACACACACACACACACACTTTTGTTGAAACAGGCTTTTCCTATTTCCACTTCTGAGAAATCAGATCTATCAACTGCACAATGGTTTACGGTTTTATAAACCTGTTTAATTCAGGGTGGGGGGAAGAAGGGTTTAACTTCCTTCTGCACACTAAAGATCAAAACAGAAATTATATTTGCAATGTCATGAAATGGAAGAGAGTCAGCTTCCTATCACAGAGCAGCCTATCCTTAGCAGCAGCACCACTTTTTTTTCCTTTTAAAAATCATTTAACGAAAAAAGGTGAAAACTATTTCAATACAACTTGGCTGAGCAACACATCTCAATACCTACTGCTTAGGCCTAGTTAGGGAACCAAAAATAGTTGTGCCACAAACATATTTAGTATAGTCCCCCAACATACTGATCCAGGAGCAGGAACATGTCCAAAGTGTCTGTACAGTCACTGTTTTCTGGGTGTTTCTGAAAACTTAAGGTAAGGCACCTGACAAATGTTCACTTTAAAAATGTGTTAAGATCTAATCCTCAATCCCAACCACTATACCATGACACAGTTACATGGCAGAACACACAATTTTTGGGTCATGGATTAGATCCCAATCACATGTTACTTGCTGGATAGGGGGAGTCTATGCTCCTCTTGCAGCAGCAAAATAAAACCAAATTGGCTGATTGTCTATTGGGGCTCAAAACCAAACAGGTCCCTGGCCCCAGCCGACAATCAGCTCAGTGCACAGGGACCACAGAGATGTTATGAACCCTGTGTGTCCTGCCCAGCTCAGTAATACAGATGCAGTTTAGTATCACACTGAGTAAACATAACAGGGATGATAGAATCACTGAAAGAAATTTCAAAAAGCACTTAAAATGCTAAAGATTTTTAGCATTTTAAGTGCTAAATGTGTACCTGCACAATAAAAATAAAAAGATGCATTATTGATATTTATCCCATTTAAGGTTGGGAAAAAAAACCCAATAATAGATTAAGCATTAAAATGGATACAAAAAGTGACATTAATATCTAAATTCAGTAATGAATCCTATTATGGTAAAAAGAAAAGAAAAGAAAAAACACGCTGTAATAAATTTGTTCTTTCAGCTTCAAGCCCTGAATACCAACATACTTTTCCTATGACACAGGGAGACACACAAATAATCAGTTTCCATTATATGACACCACACTTCATTATGCAGACCCTCACAGCAAGGAATTTTATTAAGTTCGTGTACTACTACTGTCAATGTTTGTATTCAAACTGTGTATAAACATGCGTCTAAACTGAACTACTTGACAGTAAATTTTCCTGTTCAAAAGCCCATGTGCAACTCCTATTCACTAATGGAAATTAAAGACCTGTATCAGATTAGTTAGACCAGTGGACATGGGAAAGCAAAGCAGAACTTCTTATTTCTGAAAGTTTCTACTAGATTGTGTAGAATCTCTCAAACGTGTATCATATATGTATTTTAGCAAATGCTGTAAATAAACTCATACTACTACCACCACTGTCTATGCATTTACTAACATGCAACAAACACCCTATTTTACTTTTAAGAATCTTCATAAAATAAGTTTTAAAGACATGCATAGTTTTGCATGGGATCTCTTCTGGATTACCATGCAATATTGACATATTATTAACACTAATTTCCATATAGCTTCTTGCATCCTGAAAAATATCAAAGTGCTTTTTTTCAAAAATGTATCATTCACTACAGGAAGTAAGCAGTTATCTCTGGCACAGTTATTTAAGACAGGAAAATAGTAACATCCAATTGAAACTGCTCAAATAAACATGGCTAGAGCCACAGAGTCACTTTTCATAAAACTGCATAGTCATCCTCAGAACTCAAACTGAGGGATTGATCCAGTACTGACTGTAAGAAAACGGCTACATTTAATCCCAGTACTACTTCAAACACACAAGCCTTTCCTACACGATTCTTATTCAAAACAGTGATCACCTTCTTTGATATAAATACATCATTGTTGAAGATGATACTATGGTTACAGCTTCTATACTTGTTTTTAATATTTAGATGCTACATAACTGTACAGACCATGTGATTCTCAACCACGGTGCTAGGGCACCCTGAGATGCCACTAGATACTTTGAAGGGTACCCTGAAATGTAAGGAAATAAGTAGATAAACCCAGGATCAGGCTTGTTCCTGCCCAAATGATCTTCCAGTCCAATACCCAGCCCCTCTGCAAGGAGCTAAGCACTGTAATATATAGTTTTTGAAATTCGGTGCCACTCTACTCGCAAGAATTATTCGGTGCCTCGAGTCTAATGAAGTGTCCTCAAGTCTAAGAACCCCTGCTCTAGAGTAATGTATCGCTTGCCACTCACAGAAACTCTCAAACTAAAAGAGGAGGAAAGACATATGCATGCCATGAACTCCAGAAATAAATATCTAACAAAAAAGGAACAAAAAGCTTCTGGGCTGCTGCTGAAACTTAAATGAAGCAAAGTTGCTCCAGAGCAGTGCTTATGAACTCTCCCCATTAGTTATATTTTCAGACCAGAAACACCCATAAGTTCTAATATACAGTAAATCACCTATATGTATTTCAGCACTGGAGTCTCAGATCAAAGACAGCAGTTTCCTCTTCAGATATCAGTCTGTTCTGTATGCATTTCTCTCTCAAATTCTAGACACACTGAACCTTGTCCTGGTCATGTGCTGGAGTTAGTGTCCAAAACAGTGTCCTATTAACTAGAAAACTTCCTAAAGTCAAATTAAAATATAGGTAAAAGGGGAGTATCTTTACCAGGCTGGAACAAACCTGCCCTGAGGAAGAGTGATGATAAGTAAGAGGGTGAAGAAGTATCAACTTTGAGGTTAACCCCTTACCTTCTCTCTCTTGGATTTAAGGTTGAAGGGGGTAGAGTATTAGCATCAGACTGGAAGAGAGAAAGTACTTTAAAGATTCCATGCACCACCACACAGTAACTAGAACATAACTATTTCAGTACCAGTCTCTTTTTTGGTGGTGGTGGGGGGGGGAGTATGTACATCAACGTATTTTTTTCAGGCCAGGAGTTGAAATTAGAGTACCTATGCCAATATTTAAGACAATTTGTTTTACTCTTTCCTCATTATTGTTGTGAGAATTTCTATTATTAAATTAACACTAGCTCCTGAATAAGTTTAATAATTGATCATATCAAATACTTGTAGAAATCATATACTTACTATACTGTTCATTTCTGAAGACTCATAACTTCCACATGGATGGACACTCCCAATAGGCTCCAAGCCTTCTTCATCCCACATATAGGTTCCATCAGAACTATCAGATGGAGAAAGCTCAAAAGAGGAGCCAGCTCTGCAATTCGTATCTGGAGACATTAAGTTGGTCCCAAAAGTATGCTTTGGGCTTTGATTTTTATTATTTACTGCTGAGAGAAAGAGATAGAGAGAGTCAATCCAAAACATTATTTACAGTAAAAGTATCATTTATGTTCTATGTTATTAGCAGGTAAAAGGGACTTGAAATAAATGTTGCAAAAGGATAGCTAAAAGTAATTACTAATGTTACTAAGCTGTGAACGTAGAAAAATACGAGTGAAAAATATTAAAAATACCTTATACAGTAAGAGATGCTTGGCATAACAGATATACATGAAGATAGTTTTTCAAGAGCTAGTACAGCCTTCCCCAAAAATCCTTCAGTGGCATTGATTATATCATGAAAAGTTACATATTTACTACTTCATGCATAATATTTGTAGCAATGTTATAGATGGAGGCATTTTACTATTACAGGCCCTTAAAGGTGGCTTAATTCATTTTACCTACACTTTTCTTATACCATAAGAATTTTAAAAATATTTGGTTCAAATCTTGCTTAATTAAAAAAAAACTACTTCTTCCATTTTACTTCTAATTACAGGCTCTATGTTAGTCCTACTTGCCCTTCTTTCTGGGAAGTTAACACATCACCAATAGAACAGAGCTAGCCACAGCACAAGCTGCCTAGAGAGAAAGTGTTTGCTACTAATTTTTCAAAGAAGAGCCATCCAAGATATGGCAAAGCAGGGAGAAAGAGGAGCAATTACAACCCCATGAACATTCTTGGCAAAAAGGAAAGATCTTCAGAAGCTGGTACAGGGAAAGAAGATCAGCCTAGAAAGAAGAATTGCAAAGAAGTTCAGAGAGTCCATTATGGTGAAAGACGGCTTTCAGCTGAATATCATGCTCTTTTTACAACCTCCAGCTTGCGAATAAACCAAAACACATACTCCTTTCAGTAGCTTATCAAGTAACACCAGCATCCTTCCACAGCTGGGATTTCTAAAAAGAGCATTCAAAGCCCAACTTAAGGTTTGAAAAAAAATTAAGAATATCATTACCATATATACTCTACTTTACAACAAGGATTTTTTTCTCTCCATTCCCCATTCAACATCTTCATCTTGGATTGAGTACAAGGGAGGGGGCAGATTGCTGTAGCTGCAGTTCTGGCCCCGACCTCAGTTTGGGGTCAGAGGCAGGGTGACAGCCTATTCCCCAACCACCTTCCCTTAGTTATAGCTGCAGCCCCTCCCTAGCCCCAGGTACAGAGCACATAGTAGTTCTAGCCCCATGCAGCCAAGCAGCAGTGACCGTGGCAGCAGCTCTGGCCCTGGCCCTGGCTCTAGCTCCAACCCAGACCCAGACCCAGGACTAGAGCTGCCACTATCCTAACCACTGCTACCTGGACCAGCAGGTGCCAAAGCCACTACTTGCTCTATGCCCTGGCCATAGTGGGGCCACAACTGAGTGCAAAGTGGGAGGGCAGGGGAGAAACCAACAAACAGGGGGTTCAGGCACAAGACAGCCGGCTCGACTCCCCCTGCTGCCTGCCCCCTTCCTTCCCCCACTGCTGCTTACATCCTTATCATTGCTGCAGCAGTGGAAGGGGGGAACAAACTTAAAACCTACCCCTAATAAATTAGATTCTATGCATGAAAAATTAACAAGCTTACGAATTTTCCATGTATAGAAAATGAAGTGTTGACTTAAATTCAAAGTTGTCTTGGATTTGAGTAACTATACTAATGTATTCCTCAGTGCAAACCAGCATCTAATGTAGAAAATGTGTTTAGAAAGTAAAATTATAGAAAACGTAATATTCCAGCGACTTATATCTCCTTTGCTTCTGCCTATCAGCAGATGCATAATACTATCCCTCCCCCACGACCTTGTAGCTGCATATCTACAGCATAAGAACACTACGTAAGACATTTCGGATACTTACTGTTTAGGTTCTAATTACATTTAATTTACCTGTGTAAAACAGAATTTAATAAGGTTCCATACCAGTCTTTTAGCTGGGGAGGGAATAAAAGAGCTCTACAACCCTAACCAAGCACAAGTTATGCCTGGGAAGAGTAAGAAAGAATTATAGGGGATTGGGAGCTCCTCTTGGAATATACAATCAAGCAAAATGAAGCAGTTGTTTGTTATAGGAGCTATAATTTCTGATTCTGAATTTGTACAAAGTTCCTAGGCATAACATAGTTTTATATCGCCTTAGGAATTTAGAAACATAGCTCCTATGGCAAATGTTTCTGCCATGCTCTATATGGTTAAATGTAAAATGATCTATTAAAGGTCTTCTGAAAACATTTAAACTTTTACAGACGTCTGTACAGCCAGGAAAGAATGAGATCAGTAAAAGTAGCAGATGATTTTGCAACAAAAATGATAAAAGGGCTTGGAAGATAAGGCATACAAGGAGAGGTTGAAGGAAGTAGACATGTTCAGTTAGCAGAAAAGTTGCTTAAGGAGACAGGATATCAGTCTTCAAATACCTGAAGGTCTGCCATAAAAAGAGGGGAAATACCTTTTCTCTCTAACTGCAGAGAGCAGGATATAAACCAATGACTTGAAGCTGCAGCAAAGCAGGTTTAGATTTGATACCAGGAAAGACTTCTTCACTACTAGAACAGCAAGGCAGTGGCATCGATTGCCTTGGAAAACTGCAGGCACTCCATCACTGGAGATGTTCAAGAAGAGGATGGAGAGCCACTGGTTGGGAGTGATCTGGACATAACTATGCTTATGTTCTACTATACCTATTTCTTGTGCTTCTGGGCTTTGCTGTTTGCTGCATAGGGCTAGGAGGGAATTTCCTCTCTCGCGCTCCTCCTCCCCCTGCTGTTTTTTTAAGCCTTCCTCAGAGGCATTGGGTGTTGGTTGCAGCCAAGGCTGTGAATTGTGACTGGGCTATACCAATGCTCCTGCTGGGACATAAAACTAGAGCAGGGGTAGGCAACGTTTTTTGGACGGAGTGCCGAAAAACACCATAATGCCTACTTTGGAAGGTGCCAGAGTGCCAGCATGATAGAAAAACAAAATGAGGGCAAGCGGTACATGGCAGGATGCCCTGCTTGTGCCCCTTGCCCCCCAGCCAGGGCTCTGTAGCTGCTGGAGCCTGGGCTGATCCCAACAGGGCTTGCAGTGTCCCAAAGCTGGGGTGATGAGCACAGCACAGCTGTTTGCACTCTGCCCACTGCTTGCTGCAGCTGCCCAGAGCCTGGGCTGGCTACAAACAGCTGCGCGAGGCTCATCACCTTGGTGCTGGGAGCAGGGGAGAGACCAGGGCTGCGCTGCCTCAGGCCCCTCCCCCACCGCCCGCTCCAAAGCACGCCTGCACACACCGGTGTGGAGCTGATGCTGGAGCCCAGCACAGTTGTTTGGAGCCTCCCAGTTGCAGCTGCCCTGGCTCTGGGGAGCTGCTGCCAGCCGGGATCCTGGGATGCTCCCAGCAGTTAGCTGGCACGCTGCAAGCCCTGCTGGGAGCAGCCCAGGCGCCATTGCTGGTAGCAGCTACCTGGAGCCGGGGCTGGCCTCGGCGTGCCAAGCAAAATGGCCTTGCGTGCCAAGCTCGGCACACGTGCCAGGGGTTGCCGACCCCTGACCTAGAGACTCCTGGCTAGAGGATCTTGCCCCTCTGCTTGGGATCAGACTGATCAACATATTTGGGGTCACGAAGGAATTTTACCCAATGGTCAGATTGGCATGTACTGCAGGTGGTTTTGCCTTCCTCTTTAGCAAAAGGGAGCTCTTCCTTGGACCTCAAGCGTTCTAATATAATAAAAGCCTCTGTCTGCCTGTTTGTCCATAACAGTCCAAGCCAACTGCACATGCACCGCTGAGAGGGCACGCACTGAGTGGCTGCGAAGGCCTGGAGCACTACAGACAGAGGGGGCGAGGAAGCACGGGAGCCACCACCCTTCCGCCCCACCCCGCAACAACAGCTGGCAGAGCCATGGAGGCAGTGGGGAAGAAAGGAGAGAAAGAGGGAGGGAAGCACGAAGGGGAAGGGGGGTTTCTAGTGGCAGCACCTCCCTGCTGCCACCGCCCAGCCCTGTGGCAGCACAGGGAGGAGTGGTAGGGGGTGGGGAGGAACACAGGGCCACACCTAGAGTGGTGCCCATGGGGCTAGACACAGAGTTAGAGTATTAAGACTTATACTGTATCAAGGTAGTTTTCCTAACAGATTAGACAATGAATTTGTATAGGATGGTTTGGATAAGGATGATCCTGCCTCAAGCAGAGCATTGGACTCGTTAACCTATGGAGGTCCCTTCCAGTCCTACTTCTCTGTGACGCTCAGTCACATGCAGGATATAATAGGCATCAATTACAGTGTCATGCATATAGATACACAGCATGCTACACAAAATGATCACCAGAAAGTTGTTAAATTTCATTTAGTAACAGAGAGAATTCAGTTTCTAATACAGAAAGTATCCATTAAGTTACAGCCCCACATAGTGTATACTAAACTAAGTATCAAGAATAATCATAATGCCATTAACATTTGGATTAACTTTGTATATCACTGATTGACATGACATTTCTCACCTGAAGGGGCATAAAATAGAACACGGCTTTCTTCTAATAGAAGTCACCTCCATTTACTATCTTATATTAATACTATCGGCACATATGGAATATGGCATAATCTGATATTCAAAACCAGATATAATCAGGACCCAAAAGTAATTCTTATGAGGTTAAGTATGAACCTCTGCACTAATTTAAAAAGACAAGGAGGGGTGGGAAATAAATTAAAAAAAAAAAAATAAGATTTATCCCAACAATAAAAAAAATTGGAATTACATAATAGATTATTTCCACTACAGAAATGTTTAAATCTAGAAACTAAAAAATGAAATTCAACAAAGTATTTACCAGACATATCTAGCCAATCATCAGCATTACAGTGAGAACTTTCACTTTCCTTGAGAGAACTGAATGACTCTATTGGTGTTGCTCCACGCTCTAATTCTTGAATAAGGACTTCTTCCAGATGTGCTTCTATTATTCTATTTGGATCTTCTAAATCTATAAAATCATCACTAAAGTCTTCACTTAGGTCATTTTTCTCACAAGAGGACATGGAAGATATAGATATTTCATCCACATCGTCACTCGTACATAAAACTTTTGAATTATGTTTTCCCAAACTGTCATGCAGGATTTCACTTCCTTCTTTTCTGTGACTGTCATTTTTCATTACATCTTTTTTTTCACCCATTTCATTACTATTTGTTGATATCTCAGAATTATTATCCATGAAACCAGAGTCAGTAGTTGTACTCTTGCTATCACCCACAGTGATCTTTCCAGTAAATTGTTGTCCATTACGCTTCAGGAAAGAAGGATGAGTCATTTGGTATTCCAAAGCAGCTGCAGCTCCAGATTCATTTAATAACAGTGGTTTTTTTGAACCACAGGTTGATATGGCATTATATGCCCTAGTAAACCCATATTTTAAAGGTTCATTTCCACTGGGTATATTCAACTGCCGTGTATTTCTTGATAATAAAGTTGACCTCTGAGATGATCTGATGGCTAGATGTTGATTCTGATAAGGCCTTGTGAGGTCCACAGCTCTGTTAAAGGAATGTGACCTGGTTAGGGATGCAGGAGGAAGGAAAGAATTCGGAATGGAATGTGAAAAACTTTGCGATCTAATCATTTTTTCACAGGAATAAGTTTCATTGTCTGTTGATTGTGCCAGACCCTCTCCTGAACTGTTTCTGGTGGCACTAGAATTAACTCTAGGTCTCTGCAAGCCTACAGTAGGCCTATTTCCATAAAATCCATCTAAACGAGATTTTGGAGCATTGAGTCCAGAATACGAAGTTCTGCCTAATAATGTACCTTTGGAGAATTTTGCTGAACTAGACAGTACAGGCAAAGACTTCGGGTTTAATTCTTTTGTAGATGATACAAACGTATTGGTTTGCTTGGATGTTTTTGATGCTAGTAAAGCAGTGTCATTCAAACCCACCCTGTGCACATCTTTACCAAATGCTTCTCGAGACTGAGAATACTTTTCAGAATCACTTATTTTTTCATTGGAATTATCAGCAAAGTTAGATTCACCACCGCGCTGATTACAAAGTTGATATTTATTTGATTTTCTCCAGTTAAAAGAGGAAGACGTATAAACAGTGCCATTGTGCTTGGTGCCACTTTTGCCATTGTTGCTTTGAGCAGTCCCTGATAAATTAACAGTGGTCCCATTTGACAATGGCTGTAGGACATTGCCTAAAGCCTTTGTTTCATACTTCGGTAACCTGGAAACCAAAGATGTCCTGATATAATCTTTTTCTTCCATGAGCTAATCAGGTGCATTGGTCCTACAAGGCTGCTTGAATCTGAGGAAGAGAAAGTGAGAAAAACACAAATCTGAATTAATACAACTCTAACAGTATAGCAAAGCATAATCAGCTCATTTGTGTTCTGGAAGAAAGAAAGTATTTATTTATTTATTTTACTTTGACATATTTTAAATTTAACTTACAACTTTTTAGTTCTAAGGGACTAGAAATTTCCTGTCTTTTTCAAATAATAAGTGCACAATCCATTGTATTATCAAATAAATAAATAAATAAAGCAAAACAAACCCTAATTTTATAAGTACATCCAGTTCTGTCTGGTTTCCTGCCAGTTCACCTCGTAGGGTTTTCCCTGGCCTTTGGTTCCAGTTTTGATCTGTCCCAGAATACAGTGTCCCAAGCTTCACAGTTCCCTCCTCCCTGCAGTGGAGCCAGAGATGTGGAAGCCTGGACTTGCCACAGGGCTCTCAGGGTTTCTACCCTTCCTGTTTCTCACTGGATTTGAAGAGATCGGAGAGATCCCCAGGAACTGTGGGCAATGGTGATCCAAGTCAGCCAGCCATTGTTTCCTGTGCACTGAGCCTGTCACTACCAAGATGGTGCGGGTAAAGGTATGCAACACCTTCAGAGGCCATGTCTGTTCCATATACTAATACCATATGGTTCTAATTATAAGCCAACCCATCTATAAGTTACCCACTTTTTTTGCTTCTTTTGAAAGGAAAACAATGGGCAGCGGAAGAATTTCAACTCATAATTAGAACAATATAGCAATGCTACAAAGGAACTAGAGAGCCACCTGCTCAAGAAGCTGAATAGTTCCTAATGCTTGGCAACGAACACTGTAAGATTTCTAGATTAGATTTCATAGCTTAATACAGTATTTAAAAATAAAAATAAAAACCACTACCCAGACTTGGTGCACTGATCATGATGGGCAACAAAGATGTTCACTAAGTGAAGCATAAGGCACAAGATTTTGAACACATTCAGAACTCAGAACAAGAATGCCAAAAAGAAACTACAGCTTATCTCCTCACAAACACAGATAACAGGTTGCTTTAATTTTCAAGTGTCCTGTATCAATATAAAGGGGGCTTTTTTGGTTGTTGTTTTTACTTTTGATAGGTAAAAATTGCACAAGTAGTAATATTGCTATTCTAAAATTTCATAAATGACAACAGATAACACACATTGTGAATGTCCCTGTTACACAGTTGTTGGTCATAGCCGTGTTTGTCTTCAAAAGAGTGTTTGTGCCTGAAAACTTGCAAAGAACAATTTTTCCAACTATCTAGCCGGTCTAATAAGAAATATTGTATCTACCCAAAGAACCTTGTTTGCCTGCTATACAAAGTTGGTTTGTTTTGTTTTGGGGTTGTTTTTTTTTTGAGGGGGGAGAGGGAGGAGGAGGGAGGGGGAGGGTGTTCATATGACATAATATCACTACATTCACACTAGCATTTCTTATTTTTAATTCAAGAAACTTTTTTAGTAGAATTCCACCACGATTAAGATTAATACTTGCTGAAAATTATGCTGATGAGCATGACCTGTGAAGAAAAACAACTGGACCTGTACCCATTCTCACTTCTCTTCTACAGAAATCAAGAAGAATCCTCCTTTAATAACAAAAAGTCAGGTATGTGAGAAACATGCTACCTCTGCACAGGAAAGGGGCCTCCAGGCTCATGTTTCTAAGTGTCTATAGACTAGAAGGACAACAAGGTCCACCTCTACTGCAGGTGAACATCCATAAAAAGAAAGTATCAGCTTTATCTTGGTTAGGTATGTAAAGATTATAACTGAAAATGTCATTTTTAGCAGTCAACTTGGCATATTCTATCACTGCCACTGAACTGTCACCAAACTCAAAGCATTTTCAGAGAGGTACTTCTTGGATTAGTACTGCATTCTAGCCAAGTCTTAACATACCAAGTCCCAAAGAGAACCTTAACTAAAAACTTGCTAGCAAAATATGCATGTACCTAGAGAGAATGGGTTGCTTTATATTCAGATTATTCCTTAATGATCTGACTCAATATCCTGATTTTTGATCTTGTAAACAAGCTATCAGTTACAGTGGATATGCATTAATGCTTCATTTCTTTGGACGAATTCTAAAACAATGTCAGACTTTGTGTCTGATATAAATCAGATTACAATTCTAGGTGAATTGAAAATGTTATTTTAATGTAGTGACATACAGATACATAAAGGTTATGAGGCATAAGTGAATGAATATGCAAATCAACTTTCCTCTCAGGATGCATCAAAATATAATGAGAGACCTACCAAAAATCACAAATTCACAGATTTTGTCTGTTGTGCAGCCCTGCCTCTCTCCACCAATCAGTGGTGAGAGGTGGGGCTGCGTGACGGACAGCGCTCAACCAATCAGCAGGAGGCAGCGCTGTACAATGGATAGCCCTCGCAACCAATCAGCAAAGGGTGGGGGCCACTGGGGCCCCTCAGCCAAAGGCGTTGGGGGGCCCCAGCCACAGTAAGCCCTTGAAAATGGCAGCCAGCCCCATGATCTGCCCATGAGATGAGCTGCTGAGTTGGGTAAAACCCTAAGTATAATGGCTTTTGGCAAGAAAAAACAAAAAGTCAATTGACAAAAAAGCCATCAACTGAAACCTGAAAATAGTGCCTTTGATTTGAACAGATGGATGTCATTTTCACGGCTGTGGATGTCATTTTCTTGAATGTTAGCAAGGTCTTTGATACATTATCTCATCCCATTCTCATAAATAAATTAAGAGGTTGTGACAGATTTTTACACCTTCCAGTGAGTGGCAAATTGGCTTAGTGGTCACACCCAGAGAATGGTAGTAGACAGGTCGGTATTGACCTGGAAGGATGTGGGTAGTGAGGTCCCACAGGGTTCAGTCCTTGGACCCATACTCTTCAATATCTTCATCAGTGACTTGGATGTGGGTATGAAGTGTACTCTGTCCAAGTTTGTGGACAATACTAAATTGTGGGGTGAAGTGCACACTCCAGAGGGTAGGGAACAATTGCAGGCAGATGGGGACAGGTTAGAACCATGGGCAGTACACAATCAGATGCAGTACAACAAGGACAAGTGCAGAGTGCTGCACCTAGGGCACAAAAATATCCAGCACACCTACTGGCTGGGAAGTGACCCTCTCAGCAGCACAGAAGCAGAAATCTATGAATCTATAAAAGTTTCTCCTCCCATTCAGGAAACTGAGCATCAACAACTCCTGTGATCCAAGTCAATCAATGATATGAGACAAAGCGTAAAAGCAGCTACAAACAATCCACCATAATATGAGGTTTACACTTCTCACACCACAAACATGCTAATAGAGTCCTTCTGTGAGAGAGCTGTTCACCAGCTATTCACCACTAGGCTTTAGATGCACAGTTCTTTACTGTTTTCCCATCTTCAATAGTCTTCCTAGCATCATTTCTCCCCACAACAGCAATTCTACATTACATCTCAATGATTTCTTTCACCTGCCCAGAGGCCTCTTGATAGATCTCCAAATTTATGCTATACTGCAAGACAATTTTTAAATTAAATTTTGCATATGAGTTTGGAGGGCAAATTTGCTAGTTTTACCAGATAAGCTTCACTGTTACAAAGTAGTTAAAGCAAGTAAGAGCTCATCAGATAGCACTTAAAACTTCACGTCACTTTGGATGACTTTAACTTATTCAACAAACTATCCTCACATCTTTTGTATCTGAAGATTCCCTTGGAAGTCACTCCTTTCTGGAAGAAGTTTCTTATTTAAAAAGATATGAAACAAGAGATGCAAATGCACGATTAAGGAACACTTAATAGAACCTAACAGAAGGATTATGAAAATGGAAATCCTGCTGCGATTAATCAGTATTGCATGTCTCCAGGTAATGTTCAGATTCACTACTCTGGACTAGGGAAACAAGAACTCTTAGGTGTAATGGGAAGTACACAGTAAGAAGCGGTTTTATGATTTCCCCACCAACCAAGCAGAGAATATTTCTAAAGAAGAAGAGCGTGTGCTAGTGACACCACTTTCAGGTACTTCTGTGCTAGTGAAAAGAACACCTGTGAGGAAAGGGTAGACTGGAAACAAGAAAGAAATTATTACTCTGAAAACTACCTGTGTATGCAATGTACAAAGCAATTAAGAGGGAAAAAAGTTAGTGGATATGCTCAAATTTTTCAGAAGACATGCAACTAGATGTTAAATGAGAGGCAGAACTCTATATTCTAGCACTCTGGGTGGAAGGGGTGGTGGTGGAAAGGATGCTGAGTGCTTACCTCCTCACACATGGGCAGTTGCAATAGCAGTAGTCAACACTACTGCTTCACCACCACAAGCTACTAGAAGATTGGCTATTGTGTTGGTGGCAGCATGGGCTCCCTGGAGATTGACATCCTGGCACCCCTTCTCAATTGGTGCCCCACTCACACACCTTTATTTATGCTAGTTTGTTAAACAGTCCTGTCCCACCACATCCCTGCTGAATCCATCCCTGCATGTCATACAAGTTTTCACAGAATAAGGTATTCTATTTTATAGTCATCTCACAGCTTAAGGGCTAACTTTATATTAAAAAGTTCAACAAGTATTGTATTTCTTTCTCACATTTTCTTCTCTTGGACATACCTTAAGTTTTTTTTATCACTGTATGGGATTAGTGAAACAAAAGACAAACTATTTTTTTCAATTATTAAACATTCATGAAATGACAGTCTTGGCTGCAAATACTTGACCCAGATATCATGGAAAGAAATGATTCACAACTCCTCCCTTACATAAAGATATGATTTTAATACAGATTTAATTGCCAAAATTGCATGTCAAATCTTTAAAAGAAACAGGGAAAGAAAGGGCAGGGGGAGAGGTGGAATCATCTTTAGACAACAGCATACAGTAAAATCTTTCTTTGGGATAGCAAAATACACCAGGTAAGATTGGATATATGCACAGGTAAACCTTGATGGAACAATATTGTCTTTACAAGGCAGAAGTTCCCACCACTGTAATGAGAATTTTGCCAGAATTAGTAGTGGGAAA